GTTATCTTAATATCTTTAGGGCTAAAAATGCTGTGCAACTCATGTTTTAACCAAAATGTTAAGGATTCAAATAAAATAAATATAAACCTATAATTCTGAAACGAGGAATCCTCTTTTCAGAGAGGAGATCCTCTATCACACATGTAAACTTTTAAGGGATTTAAAGAACTTAATAGAGATATGATTTCTTAATGAAATACGATTTTCAGAGGATGTCACGTATTTGAGCAAGTACATGTAACCAAGAGAGGAACACAACCAGAAAGCTAAAGGCAAGAATAAGTTGAAGTGTAGAAGATAAAATAGTAATGCTGCTGAAACCGTTTAGGCTCAGTGGATAGAGTGTCGACCTGCAGGCTGAAGGGTCCCGGGTTCGATTAAGGTCAAGGGCATGTAACTTGGTTGTGGGCACACCTCCAGTAGGGGGCATGCAGGAGGCAGCTGATCGATGTTTCTAACTCCCTCTCCCTCTCCCTTTCTCTCTGTAAAAAATCAATTATATATATATATATATATATATATATATATATATTAATTATAGTAATGCTAAGGTTTTCTATATATTAAATATATATTAAAATAGTAATGCTAAGGTTTTCTCTCATATATTCAATAATGTATATATATATATATATCATTCATATTTTTAATGGTAACATTTCTGGAGTAATAAAATGCAAATAATAAAATATATTCTAATTTAGAAAGGCATTTCCATAATTCTATGTTACATTCTTTTTAAAAATATATTTTTATTGATTTTTGAGAGGAAGGCAGATAAAAATATCAATGTTGAGTGAGGATCATTGATTGGCTGCCTTTTTCCCACCCCGCAATGAGGATCAAGCCCACAACCAAGGCATGTTCCCTGATCCATGAATCAGACTGGTCGGGGCTCCTGCAGGAGGCAAACAAGAGATGTGTTTCTCTCACATCTGCTGAGCATCAGCCTAAGTTCCTGGCTAGACTACATGACATTCTTTTGAACAAAATAGGAGACATTGGCTGGATTACATTTCCAATGGGTAGTAAAATTAATGACTTTTTCGATCAGGATAGAGGTCTCTGGTTGTATTTTAAAGGGCAATATCTTTTTATGTATACATAACATAGCATTGATGTGGAGCTTACCTCATGTCTAGCCCTAAAAGCCTACACAGGTAAAATTTTTCCAGTTTCACAGATGAGGGAATTGAGTTTCAAAGTGGCTAAATAACCTTTGTTATATCTGGAGGCTAGTAATTGAGGACCTGTGCTTCAAACTCAGGTCTACCTACTCCTTCCATTGTATCTCCTATGAAGACAAAGGTATACGATACCAAAGCTGTGATCACATGAAACTGGGGAGCTATGTTAAAATACTGAATGACAGAATCAAGAGCTGAAAAATGGGGATCGTGGGTCAGGAGAAATAAGATGAAATTTTCTTAAAATTGATGTTAAGTATTAAAGGAAACCTTTGAAAAGCAAACATGTATACATAGATCATATAACTAACTAATATCATAATGTTTGGCATGGGTTTTATTGTAGTATGGTGATTAAAATAAATGTAATTTTAGACTTCATTAAATTAATATATAGATAAGAAAAAAGAAGATAATTAGACTATTATTTTTAATTATTAGAAAACATTGAGAATAATGTTTTCTTTTTTTTAATATATTTTATTGATTTTTTACAGAGAGGAAGGGAGAGAGATAGAGAGCTAGAAACGCCAATGAGAGAGAAACATCGACCATCTGCCTCTTGCACAACCCCTACTGGGGATGTGTCCGCAACCCAGGTACATGCCCTTGACCTTTCAGGCCTCAGACTGATGCTCTACCACTGAGCCAAACCGGTTTCGGCAAGAATAATGTTTTCAATTTTAATCCTGGGTGCCATGTTCTAAACACATGTTGACAAACTGACAAATGTTGAGTGACATGTTTGTTTTTTTATATATACCATTATTGTATGGCATAGTTTTCCCATGAGAGCTTTATAAAAATTCCCAGAGAATACTGGCTCAGTAAGAAGTGAAATGTCCTAGTCTTACAAGTGTGGCTGTAATGCAGAGATGATTCTAAATGACACATAGATTTTCAAATTATATTTTTATACCTGGAAAATATCTAATTTATAAATTGCACAGTGATAGCTTTTTTTTAATGAGAATGCAGGAGTGCTTGCATTAACACTTTTTATATCCATACCTGTTCTTGTTGATAAAATGAGTATTTTCCAAAAATATATATTTCCATTTTTTTATTATGCTTTTATAAGATGCTTTTCTTTGATGACCATAAATGCTGAAATGTTTCCCTTAAAGAGAAGAGTTTTAAATGTAAGTAAGCCTTTTAGTCAGTTTTAAATGTACAAATTGAGAAATTATGTGAGTTATATACTATATTTGTTCCTGAAACCTGTATCTTATTTTCATAGCAATTAAATAACTATTCATGTCAGTTTCTAGTCCTTTTCATTGGATATTTATAAAAAAGAAAATAATGTATTTTAAAAAAATCTTATTTCAAAGAGAGAGATCACGTAATGCTTACTTAAAAGCATGTTGAATATAATTAAACCTAATAACTGTCTTGTTGCTCTATGCCTGAGACACATTCAGAATTTTTAAACATAAAAAATGAAATATTAAATTATGTTAAAAAATGTTGGCTCAGATTTTCTCTTTGAAAGAGAAAGGTTATTTGCCCTCCCCCCCCCCCCCCCGATTTTTAATGGAGAAACTTTCTTTGTCAGACTTTCCCTTAGAACGCTGACCTACAGTTGACCTATAAAGAAACATAGAGACAATCTTTAGCGATTGACCAGATAATTCAAACCTGATTTCAGTAATAAAAGGATCAAACTTAAGATTAAATGCAACCTCTTTGGATTACATTTGCATTTATAATTCTCTAGCAAAAATCCAATCTCACTGTTATCCACAGAAATCTTTGTTGAAGCACTTTCTAAAGGTGGTGTAGATGGCTGGTCTTTTAAATCACTCTCAGAAGGAAATTTAAATGTTTGCAACTCACTTCATGGAGTCTGCCTGCATCTTGGTATTACCTGCCTTGGTCATATACTTTTTATCACTGAAAGTGCAGTACATAGTTCTTCTTATCATTTTTGATATATTTGTAGAATACTATACAACTATCCAAGACAAGCAGGTAAGACAAGCTAATAAAAGCAGGTAAGACAAGCCAAGAAAACAGAGTACCTTTATGTGGCAAGTATTCTCCAAATCAATGGAAAGATAATAGCTTATGGCCGTGTTCTTCTTTTCTATGATTTTATGACTTAGATATGTTATAAGACATTAATATTTACAGGCTCATTTTTTTAACACTATAGCAAATTGGTGCTAAAAATAAACATCTATTTTATCAACTAAAGAAAAATATTTTCCAATAGTTTATCTGAGTTTCTCATTTAATCAATTTAGATAGACTAAATTTAGATAGACTAAATAATTCCTAATTATTTTACTGTTAGCATACCAGTGAGTCCTAAGGAATTTGTTTCAGAATGAAAGGAAGAAGGAGAATTTCTCTTTCATTCTCAGTATCACAAGTCTAATCTCACATACACACACACATACATACACACACACACACACACACACACACACATAAACACATATCCACACACAAAGTACTCTTCATTTATTTTTATCAATTTTCATCTTTGCTGTTTGTCAAAAATAGAAAGGAGGAGACAGGTTCAGTATATTATAAAAACAACAACAACAATGTTTTAAGATGCACTAAGGTGTCCTGAATTGCTTTAATGGACAAATGGTGTACTCACAATTATCCTTATAACAAAATTCAGTCGTTTGCTTACCATTTGGGTACATGGTATCATTTAGGACACTTTACGATCACTCCACAGAATGGTAATAGGACTTATGAAAAATAATACCAACTTTTCCAGATAGCATAACATATACGTATACCAGAGAACAGAAAGCATACATTGTGTTAGGACCAATCTCTAGATGAGGGGAAGGACATTGTCTGGATGTCAGAATATCTAATCTCTCACTCTGACTTTGCTATGAACTCACTCTGAGTGTAGAAAAGGCAACTGATTTCTATGTTTCTTACTTTTCTTCTTTATAAGATGTTTATTTAAACACCCCAAAAGTATATGATTCCAATTGTACAACTGTTAATATAAAACATATAAAATCAATTTTGAAAATTTTCTGTATATACTGAAAACGTTTATAGGAATGAACTAACTATCGGCCTTCTCTTATTTCTTCTACTAAGTGCAGAAACTTGATGTAACTTGAAAATATTGGGCATAAGTATTTATTTTTTTTTCAAAGGGAAACTAGAAAATTTACTGTTAATAGGTGCTCTATTAAGTGTCTTTATACATTGACCAATGTTCCCTTTTGTTAAATCAGGAGATAGATTTGTAGTTTTCTTTTTTCTTTCTATTGCCCCATTTACACACAAAATTCTCTTGAAAAGACATCATTTTTTTATGAGGAGGTATTCATCATAGATGCACAAGAGTCTATGAAAACAAATATACAAGAAAAAAAGGACAGATTATCATTCTAACCAACAGCATATTCACAGAGATTCTTAATATAAGCTATCTGATGGATATAATAAATTATAAAATTTTGAGGAAATGTACACAGTTGGCAACTATTTTTCAAGACTTATCATCCAGTAAACCACATTTTCTCTTTTTACACCCTTCCTGCCACCTTTTTTGACATTCAGTTGAAAATTTGAAATTAACATGATAACATTAAAAATATAAGTGAAAGCATTTCAACTTCAGAAGTTGAAATAAATGCAAGTGGATACTTAAGTAAAATCATGATGATGATATGTAAATCACAACTGCCAAGATGACTGACCTTTCTTTTAAAATATCCCATCTGTTGCTTTACCTCCATGTAGCAAAGGTAGCAAAAGAGGAAGGTAACAAGAAAAGGAAACAGGAAGACCTGTTTCAGTTACTTGACATGTTGACTTTATTGACTAAGAAGTCCAAATGCTAATACTCCTAATAATCAGCCATTCTTTCTGTGTTTTGGTAATGTATATCCTTATACACTTTATATCAAGTGGGATTTTTTTATTCACATCTGACATTTCAAAGTTTCCATTTTTGAATTCCCCTAGTCTTATGTAAGTATCACATTGTCTACTTTGTTTGAGAAGTATACCATTTTCCCCAACATCTAGGGCTCCGTGATGTAAAATGTCATTTTGCCGATCTTCTGTTCCAGTACTCACTTTAATTTTTTTAATTACAATTGGATTTTCAAAAACAATCACAAATGTGTCTCCTGTGGAAGGTGGTTTCCCCCAAAAGTACTCATCAACACTGCTATAAGCCTTGCTGGCATCGTAATTTTCGAAAACATTCATATTGGTGTACAGACTCGCAGGAGGGTTATCCGGGATGTCAAAGGACTCCTCTTCAAAATCGTCGTCCTTCAGCTTATTCTCAGTCCCTTTATAGGATGAATAATAACCCATGTGCTGAAAGAGAGATGGTTTGAAACGGATCACGTTTTTCTGAGCCAGCAAACCCCGAAAATGAGTCAACAGCCAATCACAAGGCATTTCTTGATAAAACATTAATAAAAAATGTGCCAAACGTGGGAGGTCGTGAGAATGATAAAGTTTCCCAATGTAACCAAGCTTCGAAAACTCAAGAGTTACCCAGTAGGTTCCTTCTAGGGATGTAATGACTTTCTTGATGGCAGTTAAGAAATTTTTTGAACATCGGACGTCATCTTCAAGCATTACATAGTAGTCTGATGTATTGGCACAAAAATTAAGCAGAAAAGCATAGTCTACGTTTTGCTTGGAACGAAATCTGACTCTATCTTCCGGATCATTATAATTTCTTTTAAGGCCATCCAGGATAGGGTAATATTCCTCTGGAGCATGTATCACTATTAATCTCCCTGCAATAATATGGTGGGCAAATTTTTGTGTAATATCCTGGACCATGACCTCACGCCAGGATGAATTAAAGTCTGCCAGATGAACCACCACTGAGATTTCCTTCAGCTCTTCATAGCTGGACTGTTCGAAAATAGACTTGATTGTTTCAAGTAAATAGTTTCCTTTCTTTCGTTTCACTGATGAAAGTCCAATTGTAAGAAACCCTAAGCAAAGAATGCAGAAGGATGACAAATTAAATGTAAAATAGGTTTTGAGTAACATATAAAAAGAAACAAAACGTTATTTCCCCATTAGGCCTGCTACTATATTAAGTAAATCTAGTAAATGATTATGTATAGAACATTTTTTATTAAAATATTATGCTAAACACAAAAAACTATAGTAGTTTACACACAATTGATATTTTCTATGAAAAATTGCATCTTAAGCACAATGATATGAGTCCTATTGCTGTAAACATTTGTTTATGAAATGAAAAATATGGTTTAAAGTGTTTTGTAGCTTAATGTTTTCATTATACACCTAAGAGAATATAGATATTTAGGTAATATCCTATACTATTAAAAAAATAATTCAAACACAAAAGAAGGAAACTCATAGTTAAGTGTGACAAACCAATCGCAAATTATGAAAAAAGAAAATTAAGAGTAACTCATTCTTTTGTCTTAAATTTTTCATGGGACACATATTTTCATATTTCTTTGATCACAGAATTATCTTATATCGGAAGAATTCATAATTGGACTTCAAAACTTTCATTTGCAATTTATCCAGTGAGTTAATTAAAATGCAAACAATAGTGTAAGCTAATTTTGAAAAATTGCATTATAGTTCAAATGTAAGGCACATTGTTCTAAGACATGAATATTACTGTTTTGAAACACATTTTATGTTAACTTTATCTGGAAAAATTTTTATCCAGATAATTAAATCAAAAATTAGTAATTGGATATTTTTAAGGAATAAAATAAAACCTGGTGAAGTGGCGTTTTGCCTCTGAGAAGTGGTATCTATCTTTCTATTGAAATATTTTTATTTTTGAAGTTTTCATTTTCACCATGATTGAGAACTGAATAGAATTTCAGAATCGCCACTTGGAAAATAGGAAAGTGTTTACATTCACCAAGATCACTGTTTTAATGCAGATACCTACATAATGCAATTTACACAATATTGAAAAAAGCCCTTCTCAGAAAAATCTTTCTTGCTCATTTGTCAGAGAGGGAGAGATTTATACATTTTGTTTAAATACCTGATTTATAACCCTGACTTCTGAAAATCCAATGTTATCTGTACCATTAAATTAAAACTACCAGCCTTTAGTAATGCTCAATATTGGAATATTTATAGAACATGTTCTACATAAAAGGTAGAAGTCTATGCATTTTACTAGAAATATACATCTTAATATTCCTAACAGTCTTTTGGGATAGCTTTGTGTGTATCATTCCTGCTTTATAGCTGAAAAAAACTAAATCACAGTAAGATTAGATAACTTTGTAAAGTGGAATGCCTAGTAAGTGGACTGATTCAAACTGTTTTGCCCTTATTTCTCTGTTTTATATTGCCTCCTTAGTATAAAGCATTTGACATGTGTATCAATATACATTAGTAAAATTAGCATGGATAAAAGGAAATGAGTAATATTTGAACAAATATTAGGTCACAAATAGTGGGTCACTAATAGTGGAAGTCTTATGCAATTGGACAGAAGCTTAAGATCAGTAGATATTTGAAATAGTAGAATGAACAAAAGACCTAAAGAAATCTAAGTTACAATTTCATCACCCAGTGATCACAAATTCACTTGTATATAGACTTCTGAACAGGGGACTACATTTTTGTGATCCACACAACTTATTAAGAAGTTCATGATATCACTGTATTTCATTTAATCTAAAATTCACATTTTTCATACAAAAATACTTTAAAATCTGGTTTCATGTTATGATTGATGACATCTTACAATTATTTTATTATTTTTTAAAATATATTTTTATTGATTTAAGAGAAAAGGGAGAAGGATAAAGAAATGGAAACATCAATGGTGAGAAACCAAGATGGTGGCATAGGTAAACACCTGAACTTGCCACCTCACACAACCACTTCAAAACTAAAACTAAAAGACAAAAGGGACATCATCCAGAACCACTAAAAGGCTGGCTGAGAGGAAATTCTACAACTAAAAGGGAAGAGAAAAGCACACTGAGACTCAGAGGAGCTGCAGAGGTACAGAGGCACAAGCAGACATTGAGAAGGCTGGCAACTGAGTACACGGCTGGCTTTTTAAAGCCACAGCAGGAGGACACAAGATCTATACTGCTCTGAACTCCAGTTCCGGGTGAGACTCTGGGGCCCCAGACTCAAACAAGGAGAAACTGGACTATCTGGCATCGGGCAGAATTTGAGGACTGCTTTCTCTCATGGATGAGTGAAGTGATTACTGAGGACACTGAGACCCAAGGACCTCTTTGGGTAAGGCTGATGGGAAATCATTGCTGTTTGCTCTGCCCTGAGACTCCACCCCATCCACACTGTATCCAGAGGCTTTTGCATATGAATGGCTGGTTCTTTGAAAGAAATAGACTCATAAGTCCAGGAAGCACTGAGAACCCCAAACAAAAGGAATCCAAAGAGGTCCACACCAAGACAAATAATTAAAATGCCAAGAGAAAAAGACAAAGAGAGAATATTAAAACCAGCAAGAAAAAACAGTTATCTATAAGGGAGCACCCATACAACTGTCAGCTGACTTCTCAACAGTAACTAGGCAGGCCAGAAGGGAGTGGCAATAAATATTCAAAGTGATGAATAGCAAGAACCTACAATCAAGATTACTCTTCCCAGAAAAGCTATCATTCAGAACTGAAGGTCAAAGAGCTTCATAGATAAGAAAAAGGTAAAGGAGTTCATTACTGCCAAACAAGTATTATATGAAATGCTAATAGGTATTCTTGAAAAAGAAGAAGAAGAAGAAGAAGAAGAAGAAGAAGAAGAAGAAGAAGAAGAAGAAGAAAAAGAAGAAGAAGAAGAAGAAGAAGAGATAAAGATAAAAAGTATGAACAACAAATACATATCTATCAACAAGTGACTCTAAAAATCAAGTGAATAAAAAGTCTGATGAACAGAATAAACTGGTGAATATAATAGAATCAGGGGTATAGAAAGGGAGTGATCTAACAATCTTTGGAGGGAAAGGTGTGTGGGGGGTGTGGAAAGCAACTGGACAAAAATCATATACTTATGGGTGAGGACAGGATGAGGGGCGGAGGAGGTAAGAGCATGGGGTGGTTGGGAACCAGGTGGAGGGGAGCTATGGGGGAAAAAAGAGGAACAACTGTAATAATCTGAACAATAAAGATTAAAAAAAAAAAAAGAAGAAGAAAAGAAAAAAGAAACATCAATGGTGAGGGAAAGTCATTGATTGGCTGGCTCCTGCATGCCCCACTCTGGGGATCCCTTCTGCAATCTAGGCCTGTATCCTGCCTGGACCTGAACTCTGATTTTCTGGTTCATAGGTCGATGCTCAAGCACTGAGCCACACTTGCTGGGCAGCATCTTTCAATTAAAACAGATACTTATATTTTCTTAGTGATATAGTAATTAGACCATGATACTTTCTGTAATCCATGATATCTTAAAATCAGTGAAATGTAGTACATTACTTCATGTACTACAAATTCAAATTGCCATTCATAAGTTGCATAGTTTCCTCCAAAAATTCATGTCCACATGAAAACTCAGAGTGTGACCATATTTAGAAGTAGAATCTTTGCAAATGTAATTAGTTAAGGATCTTGTGATGAACTTAAATTGGATTTAGAGTGGTCTCTAAATTCAATGACTAGTGTTCTTATAAGGAGAGCAGAGGCTGTAGAGAGACAAAAGGCCATTGGAAGGTAAATGCAGGGATTGGGTTTATGCTACCACAAGCCTCCAAATTGTGAGATAATAAATTTTTGTTGTTTTATTTAAATCATTGACTTTGTGGTAATTTGTTAGATAGTTCCTTAGGAAACAGATAAAATGATTTTCACTAATTCAAAACTAGTGACAAGTTACTAAAATCAAACCATTGAAGTTTGAAATATGGGAATATCAATATGGAAAAAATTATTACTTAAAAACAGTGTTTAAAATTTAAAATAAAGACTTTGCTTGGGCTGTTGGGCACATGATGCAGTGTGCAGTGTTTTGTTGAGTTGTACCCTTGAATTCTGTATGATTTTGTGAACCAATGCCACCCCAATAAATTCAACAAAAAACTAACAGTAAAAATTAAAAGGTGTAAAATAAATAAATAAGTAAATAAATAAGTAAAATAAAATAGCTTGATTTTTCCTTGTATCTCTACATGGTTCTACAGTGAGGCGCTATTTTTTTTTAATTAATAGAATTGGATCAGTGAGTAATTGTAATTTCTAAGGAAAAAATTGAACAATTTCCCCAAAATGTATTATGTTAGTAAATTCTATAAACTTGTATCACCATACAAATGAAGCAAATCATCATTTTTTTAAACAAAATATTTTATGTATTCTTGATTTAAAAGTGTACAGATACTTACGCTTTCTTTGCAAAGGAGTTGAAGCTAAGTAGCGATAGGTGACATTGATGGCCCCTGAGAAATTGGATAAATCTTTGAAAGTATGCACATAGCGTTCTGAATTCAGTTGGTGTGTGGATGTTTCCCTTATAAGCTGTTTGTCTCCTTCCTGAATGCCAAGAAAGAGGTAGAGGAGATAAATGAATAATAGATGGTCATGGGTTAAAAAAGTTTCTCCGGATGCATAATATGCATGCCATATAAATCTCAATTACTGGCATCTCTGTAGCTTATGATTTCTCACCTGAATTCCTACCTAGAGTCTCTGCTCCAGGCTCTCTCTACTCTATTCTATTAGTTATATTACAGTTACATTTCTTTTCTATAACATGCATTAATAATGGCACTATCTTGATAAAAATACCTACATGAAAACTCTCACTGCCTTCATGTTAAAATTCAAATTCTTTACAATGATTTCAGGATCTAAAAATTTGAGTTTAATAAATTTTACAGTTTCATGCAAAACAATTTGCTACTAAATTCCCCATTTGAATCATATTAACCTTCTATATTCTGAGCCAAACAATCTAAAGTAAGAAAATATATTCCTATTTTGCTAAAATACACACCCTGTTATCAGTGATAGCTTCCTTTTTTCTCTTTTCTTTAAGTTCAATTGTATGTTTCACTTTATATAATCACCACTTGACCAAGACTATTGGTTATACTTGTACATTATTAGCAAAATCACAACTTGCTTGGCTTTTCTATGTAGTTTACAGCACATGGAATATGTTTGGGGGCAACCTAATTAGAAAAAATGTAGGTATGTGCAAGTCATTAAAAAGAAAGTGAAGGCATTAAATAAATTTAATTTTCCTATTATTTGGCTGTGGTAAAAAAAAAAAAACAAAAAACAAAACACAAAAGCACACTCATTAGAAATTTGTTTTAAAAGATTAGTAAGAGTTAAAATACAAATTTTACCTTTATTAGATCATTTACTATTTTGTATAAAAATCAAATGTCAATAGCAAAGGTGACCCACCAAACTTTTAAATCTATGGCCAGATTGAAATATTTTTTTTAAATTAAAGTTGAGAATCTTATACAATGACAAGGAAAGAGCTTTCAATTTGATTCTTGCTAAACCAAGATTCATTCAGATGATATTTTCTGTATATTCAGTTCTGTTTATGAACTGATATTTGGTTTAACACTATCTTTAACACTATCTTTCTATATTTTATATTGCCTTAACAATTTTGACAAAGAAAAATACTTCAGTCTATTACAAAATTTATAATGTGTTTGCCATTATAAAGTTATACTTAAAAAATATATAAAATTAAAGCTTGGATAATAAATTTCTTATAAATATACTAATTAAAATTCCATTGAATTTGATTTAAAATTCTTTACATTTAAATATTTCCATCTTTGTCTTATAAAACATATAAAATAGAGATGAGAACCTATGATCAATGGGTCGTATGAGGCTCAAAAATTATTTGGTCTGGCCCTGCTAAGGCATCAAGGGTGAGTTAATTAAATATTTGACCAAATACAGCAGGCTGATGTTTAAGTTGATAATTTTGTATGGCCCACGAATGAAGTTATAAGCACCCATATGGACCTTGGCAGAAAAAAAAGTTCCCCACTCCTGTTATAGAACATCATTAAAATTAAAAAAAAAAAAAAAAAAAAAAAAAAAACAAAAAAAAACACAAATTTGAATTGCCAAAAAGCAACTGGAACTCAATTTAGCATCAACTTCTTCTTTTTTTTTTTTTTTTAAATATATTTTATTGATTTTGTACAGAGAAGAAGGGAGAGAGATAGAGAGTTAGAAACATCAATGAGAGAGTCATCATCGATCAGCTGCCTCTTGCACACCCCCTACTGGGGATATGCCCGCAACCAAGGTACATGCCCTTGACTGGAATCGAACCCGGGACCCTTCAGTCCCCAAGCTGACGCTCTATCCATTGAGCCAAACCGGTCTCGGCAGCATCAACTTCTTTAATAGTACTATAATGGTATCCATAGTCAATAAGATCTAGAAGATATAGCTATGAAACTTACAGTAGTGACAATACTAAATTCATTGTGCCAGTCTGCTCTTAGGTGATGTCACATTCTAAAGGAAGAGCAGGATACTGAATATCTCTTTAAGAATTCTATCTTCTATATGTAAAAATTCAGTTTTTTTCTGTGATAAGATAAAATACATTCATCCTGATGGAAGGACATAACAGGAAATAAAAATGGAATGTGTATAAAATAACTTTATTAAATTCTTAAGACTAAGCTTTGCACTTTTCAGCATAAATAAATAATGCAACTTTCACCTGAGTCAGCCTTGTTGCCTCCTTTCTAGAGGCATATACCTGAACAGCAAGAATCTCCCTAGATACCTTCTTTCTGTAGCTACAAGCTATAGTGTATTTCTCAGGAATAAGACAAAACTTCATGACAATCATTTTCTGGATGGGAATGGAATTCAGTGGACTAGCTACAGGCTAACTACGAGTATGTATCCTATCGGCTGCTTTGAAGATGATCACAGTCCAGAAGCGGGGTTGATTGGGCATGTTGTGTCTCTTTTACTTAGTTTGCCTCGTTGTACTATTTGGCTCTCATATACTGAGCGTAGCTTCCTTTCCCGCTGAAAGGCACTTATAGCCCTAATATGTGAGCAAAACACCAAACTGTTATATGCCCAGCATTTCAGGCCACCAATGCATTTCCCAGCAAAAAGAGCAGAGTATAAGTTGCTAAGTAACTCCAGAGACCTTACTACTTCTAATAGTCTAATTTCTCCAAATTATAACTATTATTTTCCCTGAAATAAGGCAGGAAAACTAACTCATGCCTAAGCTTAGAAAATCACTCACATTGTGGCATTTTGGAGTCAAGAAAGAAAATCAAGGCGGATAATTTTATGAAAATGAAATAAGCACATATAAAAGGTTCAAAAGGGAGAACTGTGAAAAAACACATACAAAAACACCTGCATTATATTATAGTAGAGGACTAGTTTTCTAAGGATATTATTTTTGGAAGAATAATTTTAACATAATTTCACATTAATGATTTAAAAGTGTTTAAAATATGTATACATGTTAAGAACTGAGATTAAGTGTAGCTCAAAATATAAATTAGGAAGAGAATATCACCTAGTAAATAGTTAAAAATGAAACTAATAAAAATGCTTTCATTGAACTTTCAATATTGGGGGGTTTTGTACTTAAAAATCATTTTAATTCCCTTTCCAAGTTAATAGTTAATAATAATTTCAGGTTTTAAAGATAAAAAGTAATTTCTTCTCTATGTGGGCTAATTTGCTAACTTGACTATATAGCTATAGGCTTAATATAGCTAGAGAAAAATCCATTGAGAAAGTGATCTTCAAGAGCTACATCCTTAAATCAGACCTTTTACCTTAGGTGGCTAGGACCTATGTTTAGATATAAACATTTACAAAACAGGGTTGAGTATTTGATCTTCTTATGGATATATAGTATATTACTCCTTACGCATTTAAATTTTATGAATTTGTAGAGGTTTTATTCCAAAAAGATATAAAGATGTTATAAAAATGTACACAATGACCTTTTGTATTTTTAAACTGAAACATTAAAATTGCACTTGAATGTGTCTCATAAATGCAGCAAATCATTGGCTACAAGCCTCCTGCCAATACCATGTGTTTGATTTATAAGATGTGATTCCCTTCTACCTGTAGACAAAGATTCAATAAATAACTTTTTATTACAGAATTAAACAATTCATCAAGGGCTCCTCTGGTTAATTTATAATCTTTAATTTTAGTTAAAAATGCTGAATCACATGAACCTTGTTCTATTGTCCTTAAATCTCATAAACCTAATAATCAGGTTTAAAAAAAAATCCAAAATAATAACCATTAGAAGTTTCTCCAGTGTTCAGTTTACCTAAATCAGGCTTAGTTTTAGTATTAGTTTGTGGTGATTTTAGCCATTGTGAACTGACTGTAAATGATAGGATGAAGGGTCCAAGAGATCAAGACCTATACTTCAAGGAAAAAGGCCTAGTAGAGCCAAGAAATTGAAATCTGGCAGAATTTCGCCATTAAAGAAAAATGTTAAATGAAGCAAAAATACTTTACAGAAGATCCGATATCAAGGTCATATGGTTGCCCCATAGGATATTGAATAGTACATAGTAGATAGTTAATAAATCATGTTTATTTGATGAAATAAAACATTTTATTGGGACACACTCTTTGTGGATACTTTCAGATTATCTCTTGCTAAAGATTAATTCAATCTTTCAGTGTGCTTGCATGAGGTACTTTTCAGTGTACTTTCAGTCCTCTGTATGTCCAAAGGTTTTGATTTTCTAAAATATATAAACAGGCCCTAGATGGTTTGGCTCAGGGGATAGAGCGTTGGTCTGTGGTCCCAGGTTCAATTCCAGTCAAGGCACATGCTCAGGTTGTGGGCTTGATCCTCAGTAGGGGGCATGCAGGAAGTAACCAATGAATTATTTTCTATCATTGTTGATATCTCTCTCTCTCCCTCTCTTTCTCTCCCTTTTTCTCTGAAATTTGTGAATAGGAATAATAACATAAAAATTAAGATTTTTCTAGATATCTTAACTCAGAAAGAAAATGTCAATTGGCAATAATGTCCATGTTATTCTCATCACACATGATGTGATATGATAATTATAGTAACAATTTAAATTCTCACTATTAGGCAGAAGCAATCATTTTTAATATTTCCATAATACACTTAAAATTAATTTATATATTATGTATTAATTTATCTTTTATAAACTACTGAATATCTTAACATCAATACTTTTAGTTTTTGAGGTTCTATATTACTCTTTAGTGTATATAAACATATAGAACACTAACTTTTTATAAAATCTAAATGAGGTGTCACATCCTATCTAATAAAAGAATGCTATGCAAATTAGCAATCACTCTGTGACAAAATGGCAGCCCCCATAGCCACAAGATGGCAGTGCCCAGTCCTCTTAGCCCTGCTGCTAGAGTGTCCAGGCCTGTTTTCTGGAGGGGGTGGATTCTGCCTTCCCACTCCACTGGTCCTGAGCATCTGGGCCCATTAGCCCCACGGGGGTTTGTGGGAACCAAACGGCGGGGCTGGAACCACCCCCAGACAAGGCAGACAGAGCATGGACAGCAGGGCTTGGGGGCTTCCTTAGCAAGGTGGCGGTGGGAACACCCTCAGGCCCCACAGACAGAGCCAGAACAACAGTGCATGGGGGCTTATTTAGTGTGTCAGTGTTGGTGAAGCCCTCAGGCCTGGCAGACAGAGCACACTGTAGGGCATTGGGGCTTCCTTCACATGGCGCATGGCGGTGGCAGGCAGAGAGGGGACAGCAAGGCATGGGGGCTTCATCTCCATGGCTGCAGCGAAACCCCTAGGCCCTGCAGAGAGCAGAAAACCACGGAAAGTGGGCCTAAACCATCAGTAGGACATCCCCTGAGAGCTCCTGGATTGTAGAGGGTGCAGGTTGGGCTGAGGGACGCCTGTGCATGAATTTCATGCATTGGGCCTCTAGTATTATAATCTAATATTACTTCTTAGCAACATAGTATAATTAATATCATTAAACAATGAGATTTTAAAAATATATATTTTATTGAATTTTTACAGAGAGGAAGAGAGAGGGATAGAGAGTCAGAAACATCGATGAGGGAGAATCATCAATCAGCTGCCTCTTGCACGTCTCCCACTGGGGATATGCCCGCAACCAAGGAACATGCCCTTGACCGAAATCAAACCTGGGACCTTTCAGTCTGCAGACCAACGCTCTATCCACTGAGCCAAACTGGTCTCAGCAACAATGAGATTTTTTTAATTTGAATAATACAGAAAATAGTGTAATAAGGTGTAATGTCATTAATCAAATTTTGTTTGTTGTATATATTTCAAATTAAAGTTCAAATATTGAGATGGTTTTACATAAAATTAATTCAGCACAGTGATAATAGCTAACTAATTTGTAATTATATATACATATTTGAATCACTATATATATAGCACTAAAGAAAGCACTGCAACATAAAACAATTATAAAGTTGATAATATAAAGTTAATACAAAATATAAACAAGTAGATAATAGATGTTATAAGGCTATTCTAACAGTCTGGAATTGAAATTAGTTTACTAATGAACTAAGTCTAGTTGATTTAGGCATTGTTTTAAACAAACAAACAACCTCTAAAACTTACCAGAACATAGCTATCTTCAATGTACAAATTCATAAATAGAAGAAAAATTACAAGAACTCCCAAGAATGACACTGTAGAACGTTTTCTCAGGCATCTCATTTTATCCAGTATGTCAAAAATATGTTTCACTTGATGAAATTTAAACATTCTCTCCTATAGAAAAGAGGTACATAATTACTAACCATTAATTTGATTGAAAATATTTCTTTACCATATATATCAAGAGCCAGATCTTTATAAAATATCACCCTTTTATACATAGGATTGGCATAGATATTCTTCTTAAAAAATATATATATTTTATTGATTTTTCACAGAGAGAAAGAGAGAGGGATAGAGAGTTAGAAACATCGATGAGAGAGAATCATCAATCAGCTGCCTCTTGCACACACCCTACTGGGGATGTGCCCGCAACTCAGGTACATGCCCTTGACCGGAATAGAACCCAGGACCTTTCAGTCCGCAGGCCAACGCTCTATCCACTGAGCCAAACCGGTCCCGGCATAGATATTCTTAATACATTGCATAAAGTCAATAAACAGGTTTATATCAATATGGAGCAAATAAAAATGAAAATAAAATCTCAGTTATTTCTAAACAAATGACTGTTGGTAACAATATTTTAAGAAAAAAACAAGTTTTTAATGAGAAGCAGAACACAAAAGAGGAAAATAGACATGTCAATTTTCATTAGTGAGATATAACATTAGAGTAATATCCCTCTCTCCAATATAATGTAATAAAAATGAAAGAAACCAGAAAATTATGAGCCTAATTCTCATCTCAGATGCATTGATGACACACTGAAAAGAGCAATTGGGTGTAAATCTGGAGAAAGAAAAGAGAAGTGAGAATGGAGTTTAAGTTTCGGGCACAAGTCCAAACATATATTTGAGAACTTCTGAGTTACATTTTTTTTTTTTTACTTTTCCAATAATTTTTTGTTAAATCAGAGTAGATCCTAGAGTATTACATTTGCATTGCCACACTTGATCTAATTTTAACTAGAAGTTTCACTGTTTATAATAATTTACAAGCTCCAAAAAGACAAAATTAAAGTCAACAAAATTAGTAGAGACCTAATATTTTTTTTTCACTTCACTCTTGTATATCTTCTATTTCACTCTTCTACCTTCTAACCACAGATGCATTTAGATTAATGATCATTTTTTTAAAGTCTAAACATGATAAAATGATAAAAAACAACAACTAGTTGTATCATTTGGTCTAAAACTAAGCATATTCTAGAAATTGTGCCACTTTGAGTTGTGCGCTGGGTTTCTCTGTATTCATCTCTAGAATAAAGTATTTATGTACATAAAGAAGTGGGATTGGTCTTATTTTCCTTATTATTTAAGCAAGCAAGCATTTACAGAAGCCAAATAGCAGGGTTAAAATTTCAAACAGCAGTTTTTATATAAGATGGATGATTCAATGTTGTTATAAGTCACTGATGTTTATAAAATAAATTGGAAACAATGTATGATATTAGGAGTTGTTATTTCAGTGTAATAGAATTATAAGAAAACTTTATTATTTGTACTTTTTAAACTTTCTATATTTAAAAAACATTATTTCAGTAGTATTTAAAAAGTTACTTTGAATATTTAAAATACTTTTTCATTTGTTAGAAAAGAAAATTGCCTTTTATTTTGTGGACACAAAAGCATAAGCATAGCAAAATTTTCAAGAAAATAATATTAAAAATACACAATGCTTTATGGTATGTCTGTAGATGCTCTGAAAGTTAAATGTTATAAGTTCAATGTAAATTTTATGTCATGAAGTACATTCTAATTCTATTCCTTTGAGATTGAGAAAATATAAATGGTCAAATACATCTGCATAGTTCAATTGTACATGAAGATAATAAGGATTATTATTAACTTCTATTTAATACCTTTCAAGTGTTGGAAAATACACTTTGCGTAGATACCTTGGATCTTCAAAAAAGACTTCAATAGTAATGTTAGATAAATTTTACAAATGGAAAAAAAATAAGGCTTTCTTATGATATCTCTATGAGGGATGATTCCAGTTGCTTTTAAATCTTAAAACTCACTAAGTTCTTTTTTAAAAAAAATATATTTTATTGAGTTTTTACAAAGAGAAAGGGAGAGGAACAGAGAGCTAGAAACATCATTGAGAGAAAAACATTGATCAGCTGTCTCCTGCACACCCCCCACTAGGGATGTGCCCACAACCAAGTTACATGCCCTTGACCAGAATCGAATCTGGGACCTTTCAGTTTTGGCACGAACTCATGAAGTTCTAAGTGAGTCTTAGAAGAGAGTCTGCTCACTAAGGCCACTATTTATAAACCATTTAATTAGTTTTTATATTTTAAATATACTATTGTCAATACACTATCCAACCTATGTGGTATAGTAATTTGTGGCACTGAACTGCTGAATACAATAGAAATTACATGTTAGATATAAATTATTTTTGGAGAAAACATTTTTTGTTAAATCTACTTAACCTAATATACACATAAATATATAACATGAGGAGACAGGTGATATATGATATTTCAAATATTAGAAGAGGTGTAAAAATAGTGCTTTAGAGGCATATTGCAGTGAACTCAGCATAACTCGGAATAGAACAAAATCCCAGGAGGTAATTTCAAAGAGTTGACAAAGAAAGAAATGCAGAAGTCCTTAGAGCATTATGGTGCCCACCCAAATTCTAATATCTAACCTTCATGTTATAATTCTCCAAAATGCATTCATATCAATCAGAAAACAATAGCCTTTCATTGTGTATATCCTTAGAACAAACAGGAGAAAGACAATAGCACAAGCTTAAGTTTACATGTAAGTGAAATAATCAAGCCCAGGACAAACAGAATTGGCTAAGGAGGCCAAATCAGAGTAAACAAAAGATCAGAAAAAAATATAAAAATATGTCAGTTTTTAAACTGACCACAGTAAAACTACACCATAATAAGAGACAAATTAAGGAAGCAAATAATACAAAGAAAATCCTCTCCTGCCTTATACAAAGAATCACCTGGGTCTAGAGAAATACAAATAAATATTCAGGAAAATATAGATTATTGTAAGTAAGGGAAGAGACTCAGATTATACTATAATTTTGTTGTGCTATAAAGCAAGATGACTTTCAAAGATTAATAGGAGCATATCTAAAGGACACATAAAACAGATTTAAGAGGCTTTCATTTTTTAAAAAAATTGGGAAAAATAAATTATAAAAATGACTATGTATAATATTAACATATTAAATTAATACCAATTTATGATTGCATTACAATAATAAGATGATAAAAAGAAAAGACAGGAAACTTATTTGTACAATTAAATGTGATACTTGATCACGTTCTGACCATAGAGTTGGTAATCAAAACAAAAATATTTAAGTTTTTCCCTTGAATTTCCAAAAACAACTGTATGTCATTCATAGTTGATGATGGGTATTTTTATATACTGGACAACAGGCAACATAGGTCAATGATCCCTGAAAGAAAAAACCCAACTGCCAAGTGGCAGTTTGCAGTTTTTAAAATAAAGGACAGGGCATTGATAAAAGAAATTGAAAACAACAACAACAACAACAAAAACCCACAAACAAATATACTGTGTCCATTAATTATAATAATCAATATTGTTAAAATATTTATATTGCCCAAAGCCATCTATTGATTGACTACAGTTCCTATCAAAGTTCCAATAGCATTTTTCACAGTAATAGAAAACAAATTCTACAGTTCTTGTGGAACCATAATAGGTCCCCGAAACTAAAGCAATCCTAAGAAAGATGAACTAAACTGCTAGAAGCATCAGACTTTATCATTTCAAACTATATTACAAGGCTATAGTAATAAAAACAGAATTGTATTATTATGAAAATAGACATAGACCAATAAAACAATCCAAAGGCCAGAAATAAACCCATGTATGTACAATCAACAAATATTTGAAAGTAGAGCAAAGAATATTTGATGGATAAAGGAGAGTCTTTTCAATAAACTGGTTATTCACATGCAAAAGAATAAAATTGGACCCTTACTTCACAATTTTCATAAAAAATTAACCCAAAATTGATTAAAGACTTAAATGTAAGACAGAAATCATAAAATTCCTAGAAGAAAACTTAGGGAAAAATATTTTTTTCTTTGCATTGGATGTGACAACAAAAAATATAAATACAAAGCAAAAGATAAACAAGTAGACTACAGGGTGGGGTGAAAGAAGGTTTACAGTTGTGAGTATATGAAACAGAGTTTATCTTATTATTATGATTTATTAATTACTGTATTGTTTTCCAGATGAACAACTGTAACCCTTCTTTTGCAGCACCCTGAAATCCAAGTGAAAATCAATTTAACACACACACACACACACACACACACAAAAAAAAACAATCAACAAAATGAAAAGGCAACACAAAGAATGGAAGAAAATATTTTTAAACCATAAATGTGGATAGAGGTTAATAATCCCAAATCTATAAGGCATTCATCCAACTCAAAAGTAAAAAGCCAATAATCTGATTTAAAATGGCCAGAGGATATTAATATATATAAAGACATAAAGACATAAAAATATGGCTAATAGGTAGATAAAAAGATGTTTCACATCTCTAATTATCAAGGAAATAGAAATAAAAACCACATTGAACTATCACCTCACACTAGAGGCCCAATGCACGAAATTCTTGCCTCAGTGGAATCCCTAGGCTTGGCCAGCAATCAGGGCCATCAGGTTCCCCACCTTCCCACGTCTCACCTTCTCCTTTCCTCGCCACCCGCACATCACAACCACCACCTGGCCCCTGCCTCCCTGCCTTCTCCCCTCCTCCTTCCTTCAACTCTCATGTCTGCTGCTACCCACTGCTTTTTAACCATCCCAGCCCAGAGCCTGGCCACGATCCGGCAAAAAGGACCTTCCATCTGGGGGGTGGGGCCAACTGCCACCATTGCAGGCAGGCAGTGGGCCAATTGGGTCCTGCTGGCTGGGAGAGGAAGAGGGGGATGGACCCAGGAAGTTGGCTGCTGGCCCTGAGGAGGGAGCTGGCCCTTGGCCCCTGGGAAAGGGGCCACATACACCGCCATCCACCCTCGGTTCCATGTCCTAGCCTGGAGGCCCAGCCCCGATCAGTTGATCAGGACCTACTGGCCATGG